GCCTCCTGCTTCTGCTAGCACTAGTGCTGCTGTGGCAAACCACATCAGGGAACTGATCCAGCTGAAAACTAACCACTTTTTTTTTGGCAGCTGGGTTTTCATTCAGATAAACTCCCTGCTCCACCTCACTCATGTCTGTACAAACAGTAATGGCAATGTGAGGGAGGCTGTATGAACAAATAGCTGATGGTGTAAGACAGAAGGGGACTCATCCTGTTAGCAGCAGCAGCCATTTATCCTGCTTAAGTTGATCATGGACCTGTGGCACTAGTTAAACTGGTTCCAGCCACTGTATGGATGATATTATTTTCCTGCTTCTTACTTCCTCAAGTCAATTAGTGGCAGATTCCAAGTAACCCAATGTAAGTGATTCTTGACCTGGAGTGAAAAAAGGCTCCTTGGGACATTTACAGCGCTCACGTGAACCAGGGCAACTTCTTGCGCCTGTGTATGATCTCCACTTCATACATACACAGAGATGAAGAGGCAACAACTGCAAACCCTACATGATGCTACAGGAAAATCCTCACTAATAAGAGCTGGTCGGATCAGCCCCTGGACAGGAAGTTCTGTGACACCCTAAAAATCATCCAGTCCAACTGTGTTTAAGTTTTATGTAGTGTTTAGAAAGCAAGAATGCCTGGGTATCTGTCAGAGGTCTTAGTAGCAGCTGTAGCCAACAAAAAATAAATAAAAATAAAAATCTCAGGCTGACTAGAATTAGGTCCTTCCATCCAGGATCCTTACCATTTAGTGAGTTTAGCATATTTTGAGAGCTCCTAGCCTAGACTGCCTGGGGTCTGTCCTTTCCTCAGAGAAGTGTAAGTCACCCAGACTAACAGCTTTGTTTAATAGAAGTCTCTATTCCCAAGATCTCAATAAATGTCCAGGAGGGATAACTGGTTTCCATTATTTTCCATCATATTCTGCATAACTGAACTAACATTGCCTGATCTGTTTAGAGATCTGGTCCTAGCCTCAAGCTGGAATTTGGGTACCAAAACCTTTCTCATCAGCAGACACTTTGGCTGCACTGGCCATCATTAAACTTTGCACGTCCCCCCACAGGATATTCAGCACAGGTCCCAGGAAGCCGGGAACACCCACATTTTCCTCATCCTTGTTTCTTTTCTTTTTTTTCCTGTTACTACCTTCAGTCCTTAGGCATCTGTTGTTCCTGAAGCTCTCAGAAACACTGTGTCTACACAGGAATACAGTTGGTATGAAACACTAATATACCAAAAATCAGTATATATTATCCACATTTCATCTTTCAGTTAGTGACCCACTTGCACCTTGGGAAACGGTGCCAGAAGATTCAGGCTACAGACCTGCCATTCCCTGGATAAGCCCAAGAGGGGTTATGTGGACTAATAAAGTAACACCATGTTTTCCTACCACCCTTATCCGTATAGGCTACTTGACCTGCTGTCAGAACTAACAGTACTGAAGGCCCCCAACTAATGGTTAACCATCTCCTGTGTACACAAAGCTTGACTGAAGTGCTTGGGACCAGCTCTTTGGTTGGCTCCACTCTTATCTTACTTGAAGCTGATAAAGGGGGTGCGTCTGCCCTTACTGGAGCTCCTCGCAAATCCCTGGGCAGAAGCAATCACTTTCGGGCAGATTCTGTCAACAACAAACAGCAGCACTTTTCCACAGTGTCACACCAATCTCTCCTCTATGGAGCAGTCAGGTAACAGCAGCATCTGAGCAATTTACGGTATCCCCGTTTCTACATGTGCCTTGCTGGTGAGCCTGTAGGGAGAAGGAAGGAAGAAACAAGGTATCACAGTGAGAAATGTCTACCAACTGGTTTACAGTTCCCCAGGCTGTTAGCTCTTGGGGTTACAGGGTTGACTTCTGATCTTAAACAAATGGCTCAGGGTGTGAAAATTGATCAATATTTCTTTGCCAGCACCCCCATTTTGAAAGTTACTTTGCAGTATAGGGCTTGGAATCTGCACCCAGAAAAGCTCTCCGGAAGAACTATATTGACACTGCGTTTAGTAAAAAAAACCAGTGTGATGTTGTTGTGTGTACTTAACTCAGTTTATTTTCTCTGCCTTCTATCTATGAGAAAGGGAAAACCAACAAACTAGATGCTCAATGACGGTGTTCCAGCATCTCAATATTGTAACTTAAAGTGATACTACCAGTTAGACTAATATTTTTTCCTAATATAGTAACAAAAAAAAAAAAAAAAGTGAAAAAAGTGTAACTACAGCTGTTCTTTTTAGACTCAAAATACAACCCTGTTATATACCGAGGGAACTCAAAAGCAAGAGCTTTTTGGATTGTAAGTATTTTCCACAAGTAAAAATTTTCATGTGTTGATAAAAAACCCATACATGTTTTGTGAATACATGCAAAAATAACATTTCTCTCATTTTGTGTGAAACTTCTTACAGTCTTAATTCAGAACAGCATCTGTTGTCACGACAGTACTTGAACACATGTGATAAGTTTTAAGCAAGCACCTAAACCTTAACACATGTTTAGTTTAGAAGTTCTCTTGAATCACAGCAGGTAGAGGTAGGCAGCATAATGCAGAGAGTAATCTGTCTCTTAACAGTTGCTATTTAAGATAGGAAAACCAAAATCCCTTACTGAACTAACATGATATGATTTTTATCTTAACATCCTTCCTATTAAATCTCTTACCTACAAGTGCTAGCCTCTAAGCTTTTCTAGCACTGATTTAGCTGAATTACACACAAACGTACATCGTAGACTCTCAATTCCAAAAGACATGGTACTTCGGTACAAATCTGGAACAATAATAGCTTCATCTAAGTCAGCTGAAACTAGTAACAAATGTAAAACACACCATGAAACAAGTTACCATGAAGTGAAAGGAGTTAGCCTACATTTACAGGAAAACAGTTGAGCTTAGGTCAACTGGAGTCAACAGTTGTACTAGCACGAAGAATGCGTTCCCCGCTAAGATTGATGTAGCCCAGCAGAGCACTCCCTATAAGCATTCCCTGCAGAAAGAGCCATTTCACAACTCCAGCCAAGCACTTCTATCCTCTTGTTGGATATCAGTGTCCCCACAGGAGACTTGAAAGAAGAAGACTCTCCATCTGCTTCAGTGCCAAGAGGGTTGACTTAATTTGGACAGCTCTCTTTGTAAATTAATCCAGCCTTTTCACCAAATCAGGTGGGGAGGGGGGGGGGGGTCACAGCTTCCAAACCATCAGTTTAGATAGGGCAAAGCTGACAAGTGTGAGCCACAGGGAGTTACAAACAACAAGGTATGACACTGTCTATAGCCAGTACAGCTATTTCTTCACTGAAGGTCTAACTGACATGTCTAGTGCAATCATATATCTAGCCGAGGTGCAATTTCCTAGAATCATAGAATGGTTTGGGCTGTACCATCTTATTTGCACTGGCATGGTGAAAGCATTCCTCTTCTGCATGCCCCCCCACCAAACAAGACACAGCTGTATTGCTGCAGTTTCCTGTTACAACTTAGGTAAAGGCGATGTGCACTCTGGGGTACAGGTATAGCCATTTGAGAAATTACTTCCCAGAGCTGCTTTTTTACCACTGTCCAGATGCACATCTTTTTGATGATGTTGCTGAGCCATAGTAAAGTTGTGTGAGTTGTCCTAGCCCATTTCAGAACACATGGTAAGTCAAATCTAGGTATCTGCTGATATTGCATGGACTCAGACTATGAATACTCACTAATGGCTCTAATTTTACTAGTAGTAAAAAAGCTTCAAAAGGTATTTCAAGATTTTATTAACAGCTCTTGTGAGACAACAAACCTCTGTCAAAAACCTTATACTGCTGTCTGTAACAGTTTTGGTAGAAATCTCTAATGCAAGCTCTAAGGATTATCTGTGCTGCAAAGTGGTACAATCTCATAAAGTAGAGCCCCCTGTGGAAAGTGCTAGTAGACACAAGACACGTATGTAGAGTTGAGGCTTTTTAAACTTCTTTATGTATCTGCTGCAGTTTGTTATATACCTGTTGCAGTTCAGCAGAACAGTTTTTTCTTCCCCATGCAGTATGTGGTAGTACAAGGTTTTTATTGTTAAGAAATGAACTGAGAGGAGCTGAGATCTTCCTCGCTTGGGCTTTCTTGTGGTCATGGGCCCTTAAGTCTCCCCCAGCAGTAGATGCCCCCACTTTGCTCCACCCTTCAGCAGTGCATGTAAATCGGGGGCAGGCCAGGGAATCCCAGCTAGGAGAGACTGCCCCTGCCTGCCAGGACGTCAGTGAGAGCTCAGCAAGCAGTGCAGCTGGGAACTATGTCTTTTGGGCGTTGTTATAAGCTGGACAGAAAGAAAACAGTTTCATCCATCTTCCTTTCTCCTTCTCCCGGTGCCGCGTACGGTGTGAGGACTGCTGCATGCAACTACCTTCAGTGAGGGGCTTTGGACCTCTTCTTTCTGCTGGAGCCTTCCTGGAGAATCTCACGGTATTTCAGGCTGCAGGAAAATGTGCTGGGGAAATCATGTTAGGTAAGGCTGCCTGAGCTTCCAGGGACCTTCTCTAGCCAAGGATGCTTTTCCTTTTAGCAGTGCTTTTTCTGGCTGGTAATCAGGAAGCTGAAAGTAACAAATGGACCTGGAGTTGTGGGTGAAGTGAAGGCTAATGTTTTCCTCTTGCTTTTGCTGCTTTTGTGACTGCTGGCAACAACCTAGTTGTCATAAAGAAATGCACAGGAAAAAAAAAAAAGACATTTTGGACTGGTTGTCAACCAATAAGGGTATGCAATCCATAGCTTTCTGGAAACAAGCCTAATCTACGTCCCTGTTCTTTACCCGTGCCCCGCCACTCCCCCCCCTGCCCGTCCCCCCCATTTTCAAGCTTAATTTTAGATTTCTGATGTGCTAATTCGAATTATGCTGGCATTAAATAATTATAGTTTATATTAGCAATTGTTGATAATGCTTTGAAAAAGCTCCTTCCCCCTCACCATCTTCATTTGGGTGTTTGTGTCTTATTAGCACAAATTTATTTCAGCTGTCTGTTTTCTGTAGAATTCTTTTCACCGTGACCCTGGTCTGTCAGGCTGTTCATTTAGGAAAAGGTAAGGAAAATTTCGTGTTTTCTCCTGCCCCCTGTATTTCACCTGTACATTTACAGTGTGTATTGCTTCGACCATGTCATCATTTGCATTACAAGATACGTTTCTCTTCCATATTTGCACTTCTTGCCAAGGCCATGAAAAAGAACATGAAGAAGATGTGAAAAGTCTCAATGCCACAGCACAAAAGCAGCAGCCCAAGAACGAACGAACTATTATAAGTGTTCTCAGTGACATGAATCAAAGTTATGAAAGCAGAAAGCAACAGAATTCCAGGGCATTGGTACCTTTCACTGGGATTACAGAGAGTAGGTAACATTAATTTATTTAAACAATGCCATAAAGTTTCTTTTAAAAATATTACATCACAGTAATGCTTCCGCTGTTGTCCTAGAATACTGCAGCCAGTTGGTTTTCTGTGGCTGCCTATTTAAATCACTCCCGTGGCTACTTAGGAAATGGTGATAAAAACTTAATGTAGAACAGGGGACCTCTTACCTTCAAGAGGTGGTAACAAAAAATAGTGAAAGATGCTAGGAAATAAGAAAGGGTTGGTCCCTTGGATTTACTAAATTGTTTGACAAATTTTGTAAAATTCTGTTCACTTTAAAAAAAATTATCATATTTCGTGGCCAAAAACTACTTAATGTAAAAAAAAAAAAAAAAAAAAAAAAAAGTTTGAGCTGTCTGAAAGCAACAGTACTAACAGAAAAAAAAAATTAAGGACAGACATGCTTCTTCCCACAAACATAAAGTTTTATATTGGTATTCAATACCAGGAATTCTGAAAAAGGTTTGGAGTGTTTCCATCCTGTCTCAAAACTAAGCAACTCTTTCCAGTAACAAAACCTCCTTTTTTCAGAAATAAGCACTACTTCCTGGTAACAATACCCCGTTTCTTGGTGGGACTGAAATCTGCCTCTGACAAAGTGAGACGTTTCACTTGAATATGTGCTGCTAGTGCTACATGACTTGCCAGGCCAGGCATTGCTTCTTGACCATCTTGTAATCCCTAGTAGTTTGCTTTTAATCCTTAGCTAAACAAACTGGGCTTAACTGAACAAACACTCCTAACAGGCAGATAATTTTATTGTCTCTGAAGACAATAAACCTAGATATCCTTAAGATCCTTGGCAACTGGAGAGACCCAAGAGAACAAGTGAGGAAAAGGGGAGGTTCAGAGCCCCTGTTAACCTCTGTTGATATTGTCTTGCAGGTAAAAAACTGAACAGACACTGCTGCCAAAATGGAGGGACCTGTATACTGGGGGCTTTCTGTGCCTGCCTAAAACATTTCACTGGCAGGTACTGTGAACATGATGAGCGGCAAAGGTAAAAAACAGACCAAAAACAGAAAGAGTGAGCAAGCTGCTCTAGACAGTTGTTTTCTGTGGTGGGATCAGGGATGTACTAAATGTCTACCTTGTCCTTGACAGCAACTGCGGCAGCATTGCCCATGGTGCCTGGGTGCTGAAGGGCTGTTGGCTGTGTCGGTGTGGCTATGGTACTCTGAACTGTCTCTCAGAAATAATGCACGATAACTGTGGTAAGGAATATCATTAAATCAACCATTTTTATCTTGTGGGTAACAGAATTGCTTTCTGCAAAGGTGGAGTACTCAGAGGATGCTGTATGTGCTCTATTTAGACTTTTGCAGTGATCTGCTTTGCTTCAGAGAATGCATTAGTGAGACAGTAAAAAGTACTGTTGCTTTTGTAGTACACCACATAAAATACTTTGAGATCTTTATAATCCCGTGCAGGAGGAAACTTCCCCCATTTTAACTTAAAATTACAAGGGTTAAATATGTCTTCATTCTGCAAAACCTGCACATGCCTATGACTTCCCATTTAACCAGGACAATTTGTACAACTACATCCAAGCATACCAAAATGTTTCTTCAGTGAGGAAAGACTAAAAATAAGCTGGTGTGGTAAAAGTAGAAACCAGTATTACAGTAAAGAAACAAGTACTGAAAGCTTGCATTTTCTTGCATAAACTGATTAACACATAAATGGCAAAAAGCTAGTCTGAAACTTGCTTTAAGATCTGTATCTTAATCTTCAAAATAGTCTTAAACTGAGTTCTAAGACTGAGCACACTCCACAAAAAATGTGTAGCCAAAGTCCTGCTCAGTGTAAAGTAGTAGCACCCACTCCCCTCAAATGCACTGTATTAAATAAATGTCAACTCTTTATGCATCAGTCTGTGAAAATTCCTGTATAAAAGTTTGAGTATTTTTGAAAACAGTGTGTCAGCTAGCATAAAAAATTGAACGTTTGCTTTACAGGTACTTCTTATGCCTTGCTCCTGATGATTTTCCGTGGAGAACTGGCTACTGAGATCCAGAATATTTTCAATACTCTGAGATGACTAATAAGAGTTTAATGTTATTTTATCTCCAGTGGCAAATTTAGTGCAAAATATTCTTGCCCTTCTCCATCTCTGATATCTTAATTTCACCGTGTGCTGTAGTACACTTTCCTTTGGTTGTGACAACACCACTAGTTAGCAGGGTAAGAAAATAACAGGCTTCTTGAAGCTTAAATAGCTTAAATAACTTCAAGATTTATTTGCACCCGCAGGAATACTGCACACATGCACAAAACCACCACACCATCAAAGCCATTTTTGCTTTGAAGTCTTCTCTATTGACTAATATGTGGCATCCAACTTGCTCGTTAAACTCTTCAGAAGAGTTAAACGCTCATGTTCCCTTGGGTGTTCACCTTTGAATCAGCCCTATTGTTTCTCATTACAGGAGCAAAAGACCTAACAGGCCTCACCTGCTCAGTAAAAGAAGTCTACTGCTTACCACTCTTGAGCTCAGCTTAACAAATGTAATAAAGGTAGCAGTGGAGAATCATCTGCCCGTTCTCTGAGCAGAGGCTCAAGTGGCTTTCACGTGCATGAGGGTATGGCTTTCTGCTTGTGCTGATAGATGAAGCCACTTCTTGTTAAAGGAAGGGTTAAAAGGCTACATGCAGACTTGAGAGCATACCTCTTGTGAAGATCTTGCTCTTGCTTTTGCTTGGTATTTACTTTTGATTATTCTGAGATTAATGTCTGCAAGAGCTGATAAGTGTTATCAGTTGCTCCTCAAACTATCATTGATGGGACATCTATTCACATCTCTCCCCTGAGAATAGCCTCTTTCATTGGCTTTAACAGCTGATACTTTTAACTTAAGTACCTGTGAGATGTCAGAGGACTTTCAAAGGACATTGAAAATCCTTATGTTTTAAGATGTACATACTTTACTCATTAACCATATTATTCTCTTTTTTTTTTTTTTTTAAGAATTGAAAACAGGAAAGGAGGAAATTACCAGACTATATTCTAATGGGCTAAGATTACAGCAAACAGCGTTTGCACTCACTTGCCTGCTCACCGTCCTCCTCCAGCTCTGCTGCTGGGAGTTGTGAAACCGGGCAAAAAGAACTTATGTAACCTTCACCATGAGTCATGCAACTTTTTTCTTCTGTGAGCTACAGAGGACACTTCTACCTACATGTTGGAACCAGATTAAGATGTATTGGTTAACACTGAAGTCCTTGGATTGTTATAAATTCGTTTTATATTAATGTGAAGTATTTATTGTTATATTATTATTTTATTGTTACTATCAATGTCTGACTCTAACAATTCTTTAGTTCTAAAATACTGTTCTTCCAGTGGAAGCAAAAACCCTTCAATGTTCTATGTCTTAAGTATTGTAAATTATAGTGATTTCCTTTGTACACAGTACAACTACTTTAGCAAATAAAGCTGATTTCATTTCTGAAGAGCTTTTCTGTTTGGCTTTATTTAAACTTGAAAATTCTTATCTACCATTTGTCATTGCATTGTATCCTGTAACAAAACAGTATGAAAAGGGCAGGGTAGAATGAGCAATATGAAATTCAAAGAGATAAGAAGAGTTTTAAGGGTAGGTATATTTCAAATACTAATATACAGATTAACTCTAAAATTTTTATAGTCTTCCAGTTTTTATTATTATTATAGCTAAATTGTAATGTGCAAAATCCTAGGCAGGGAGCATGCATTTCTTAAAAACACATAACTGATACTTATTTGTCTTTTGGTGGTTTATTTTATTTCACTTCCTAGAAATATGAACTCCTCTTATCTTTTTAAAGGGACAGCAAAGAGCAACCTCATCAAACTTTTTCTATAGGAAACCTGTCTTTGATTTATATATGATTTAAATATTTGTATTTCTGGGCTGTAAAATAAAAACCATTTGAAGTGTGTAATTGCATTTGTAATGCAGGTTTATATGAAACCAGAAACATGTTTGTTTAAAAAAAAAAATTACAATGACAAGCCTAAATTGTACCTTCATTCTTACAGTGCATACCTACCACATAGAAATAATCAGATTAATGATTTTGTTGGTTTAAAAGACATTATTGATGTGTAAAATCCTTAATCACTTGTAAAAGTTTAATATATTTAATTCTTAAATTTTTATTATTAATTTAATTGGTGTCATGAACCAAGACAATAATCCAGTTATGCAGAGAATAATGCATCACCAACAAATGGTATAATATTGTGGCTGCCTTTGAATCTATGGCTATTCATTAACAGAATTTTATTAGGGAGTCAAAGTGTAAAAACATATTAATGTTAAATACTGCAAAGGATTCAGAGTGCTCCTTTCCACACCCTAGACTTGAGTGGAAAGAGTAAGGTACTCTCACTCTTCACGTAATGTACATTAGACTAGAAACAGTCCTCACTTTTTTCCACACTCTTTTTTGTACCCATATGCCTCTGTTTCCACAGATTTTGAAAAGGAGGTACCAGTTTAGGACAATTAAATATCAAAGAGAACAGCTGGAGGAAAACAGTCATGCCTTTACTTTTCAGATGTTGGAATTGTAGGAATACCATTGTGAAAACATATTGGCTTGTTATAAAGCATACCTGAGAAGTCTGTAGACAATACAGCTTGTGATGTGCTTCATCTACGCTTTACTTTTTGAAGGAAAGAAGCAAGACATCTGGTGTCAGTGTATTTGAAGTAATACTTATATTTTATCCCTACTGAAAACATACAGAGACATAAAAGATAGCAATTAACAAAAGGAAAGAGT